TCCCGTTTGCGGCAAAGCCCCCCTCTTTTGTCCTCCCCCCGGGATGAGCCCACATACACACCTTTGCCCCCTCCCGCTGCCCGCCCGTCCCTCTCTTCCCCCTCTCGCTGCCTGCCAGACAACCTCTCCCCCTTCTCCTCCCCCTCTGCCCGAAGATGGGAAAAGCGATGACTGAGGACAGATTTGAGGATGATACCCGGGAATGGACAGTGGTCGAAGAAGCTCGAAGACACAAGGAACACCGGGTTGGTTCGACTGTCACAGATGGCTGCAGGTTGCAACGTCAGGAGGACAAAACTCGGGATGGGGACCGGGTTGGTTCGACTGTCACAGATGGCTGCAGGTTGCAACGTCAGGAGGACAAAACTCGGGATGGTGACCCGGACAGGAGATGTGATGGCCAGATGCAGGGCGGCTTGTGAGCTCACCTCTCCACACATCGCCTGTGGAGCCCGCTGCGATGAAGGCCTTCAGGATGTACAGACCACAATACCCTGAACCAGGGCTCCACAGAGGGCTTTGGGTTTAACTCAGGGTTTCAGTTGTATGCAGGGTATGATGTGTGGTTAGAATGGAACGCTTTTCCCTCTGCTACAGACATACCCGGGAATGTCTAGCTCTTTAAATAAAATCAGAAAGGTTTGAAAGTGGTTTTAAACATGTAGGACTGAAATCAGTCTACACTAAGTACACCTGCTACTTATTGCCAAGGGGGGCTGCTAATCAGGGCTGGTATTATTACTGATAATGGGTTTTCCGAAATGGGTAGGGAGATGGCCGCAGCCCCAAGGGAAATCGGGAATCCCTCGGGTAGAGAATACAATGTTTTACAGCCCTGTTGGACAAAAGATACCCTCAATGCCACATGTATGTTTTTAAGGGACGCTGAGCCCGGTTCTCAGCAGGTGTAGCTCCCCACCAATAGATGGAGCGGCCCAACGGGGAAATCCTCAATTCTGGCGGTTCTCTCACCACCGCCGGGATAGCGGGTTTTCGAAGGGTTTAAAAAAAAAAAAAAAAAAAAAAAAAGTGTTTTAGGGTCAGATTCGTAATTTTGTTTGTGTCAGGGACTAACCGCCGGTTTAGTCCTGAGGGAAATTCGTGAGGGACATATCTGCAATTTACACAAAATTGCAGGCCCGAGTTCCCCTTAGCGGTGACGGCCCTTAGCAGACCCGGGCTATCACTAGGACAGCAGGCCCATCTGGGCCTTGGGCTGTAGAGACGGGTTAGACGCCGTATAGCTGGGTAGGCCCCAGGCCGAACAGGCCAAACTGATGTGGTACCGGTCTAGTAGGCCTAGGTCTAGAGTAGGCTAGTCTATTAATAGGACTGGGCTTGTAGGTTAGTGACTTTTTGGCATTTCATTTTCGCAAGACAGCGTTCTGGAGCCAAGCAAGTTAGGTGGCGGTGATTGTCTACAGGCGGCATCCTGAGACCCTCATCGTGGACGGCAGCCATAGCCAGCCTGCTGGTGTTTGCCATAGCTGGGGCATCCTCTGAGCATCTACCCCTCAGGGTATCTGCGATTAGCTGGGCTGTTCTGAGTCTCTTCACTGAGCGTATGTGGGTGGACCACTGTCGCCCTTCGCTCCTATGGGATTGTCATGGTGCGGCAGCCATAGCTGCCATCTTCTTCGTCAGAGTTACTCATCGGTATTGAAGACTTCATCGCGATTCATGTTCTTCATCTAGATGGTTGGCGCTGGCCTCTGGGAGGTGGATTCAGTGTTGCGCTACTAACTGGGTGTGGAATAGAGAGTGGTGTGTGGAGTTCTGAGAGTGGTGAGACACTGGGATAAACTCTGTAACGATTATTGGTTTGAGTTGGCTCATCATGAGTGTGAAAAAAAAAAAAAAAAAAAAGATGGGCGACAAGGGCGACATGGATGACTGGGTGGAGGGCGGATTGGATGAAGGCGAAGATAATCGCGGCGACAACACCGACAGCACCAAGGACAACAACAACACAACAATATCAATAACATCGGCATCAACGACACCAACAACAACAACAACCACAACAATAACAACAACAACAATGGCGACGGCAGCAGTGTTGACCACGACAACAACGGGGCAAACAACAACAACAACAACAATGGCTGCGACGACCACGGCAGCGGCGGGGAGGAGAGCGATGTCTGCGCATCTGAGTTTATCATCAGCAGGATGGGTGAGAGGCCGGGAGTGGACGTGAGCAGCAAGGTTGAGAGCGGCGCATCTCAGACCATCATCAGCATGATGGGAGAGATGCCACAAGCGGACGTGGTGGGGATTGGGGATGACAACATCAACAACAACGATGAAGGCAGCAGCGGGGCAGAGAGCATCAGCCGGAAGGGAGAGAGGTTGCATGCTGACGTGGTGGGGATTGGGGTTGACACGGATAAGAAGCTTACCATCTTCCCCCCCTTCAACCGCGTTGTCTGTCTGAAGATAGGAGTAGGATAGTCGCTGTTGATTGGTGTTACCATCTTCCCCCCTCTTTCCCCCCCTTCAACCTCGTTGTCTGGCTGAGGATACGAGTTGGATAATCGATGCTGTTTGGTGTTGCCCGGCCCGCAATATTAATCAACGATGGGGTGCTGATTGCCCCACGGGAGGGAGGTGGGATGCTTAGGGAGTAGTTTGCAGGTGGTCAATCCTTCCCTTGCGCCGGGAAGTCATCAATGCGCCTGCTCTCCTTTGGACAATAGGTATAGGGACTCGAAGTCCAGAACATACACATTACATAATTGATAGTGATTCCTGTTAATATCTTGATTGATAAAGATCATACACATCACATCACATCACATCACATCACATCACATCTTTTTAAGAGTTTCGTGTTTAGATTTTGATAGATATTGAACACATACATCACAAACATCACGCATATTTTACATCTTCGTTAGGGTTTCGCTTCTGACATATATTGCTTAACGTGCATACATAGGTAGATGGAGCTGTCAACACAWCTCTGCATAGGGACGCTGGACCCGGTTTCCAGCAGATACATTCACATCAATATACAGGGACGCTGGACCCGATTTTCAGCAGATACATTCACATCATTGTATAGGGACGCTGGACCTGATTTCCAGCAGGTCTAGCTCCCCACCAATAGATGGAGCCTTTGACACCGGGTCCTACTTACTGGGGATGCTCTTATCACCTCGTTAAGTAGGTTTCCCGTATACGAAGTTTCAATCCAAAANAAAAAAAAAAAAAAAAAAAAAAAAAAAAAGAAGGAAAGGAAACCAACTAGTGCTTGGTAGGGGTCCACACTACAACTGGGGCTGGCAGGGGTTTTCAAGGCTTCACGCTTGCCTTTGTCTTGCCTCGGCATGGGAACCATGGCATATACACATACACGACTGGGGCAGGAAGGGCATCTCAAGGCTTCATGCTTGTCCTTGCCTAGCCTTGGCATCAAGAACCATGGACACATAGATAGCATACAGATAGCACACACATGACTGGCGCTGGCTGGGGCTTTCAAGGCATCACGCTTGGCCTTGTCCAGCCTCGGTATCTGACATCTGTAGGAAGGGAAAAACATGCCAGAGGAGGACACACAGATAGCACACACACGACTGGGGCTGGCTGGGGCTCTCAAGGCTTCTCGCTTGGCCTTGTCCAACCTCAGTATCTGACATCTGCAGAAAAGGGGAAAAAACATGCCAGAGTAGGGTTTGGTAGGTGAAGTACACATAATGATTGAGCCTGGCGCACGATGTACCCAAGTAATGTGGCTTGCTTGACTGTGCCTCAACTGGGGCTGGGCAGGGCTTTCAAGGCTTCGCCCTTGGCCCTGCCTAGCCCCGGTGCCTAGAACTACTGTCTGGTTCAAGTCGCCCTCTGAAATAGCATGGTGATAGTCCTGAGTAGACAATACTGAGGTAGGATAGTAGGGATAGGGGTGCGCTAGGAGAATTGCCGAGAGGATGGTTTGGGAGGTGGTCTTATGGAGAATAAGGGAGTGTCAGGACAGCCAGTAGCTGTGGCAGTAACCCCGTATGTCTGGTGTCCGGCTTCTACAACAACCTGGGCTTTTCTAAAGAAAAAGGAAAAAAAATTCTGATGGAAGCATCCTGGTCTTTCCATTTGATATCCGGTTCCTTCGGAGGCCTGCCTTCCGGGGTTCGGACCACCAACCCTGCAGGATGTTCGAACAACTTTTTCACATAAACTCTAAACAAATCTGAGAAATATAAATAGAACTGTGCGACTCATGGCTACCATCCGTTAATGGAAGGCCAAAAATTCGGGGTTTTTCGCCGCGTCGCTACAAGCAATGTTGTCGAAACTTTTGCGAACAAACTATGCAGGGTCATAATACAAACATCAAAAAACCAATCAGGCAAAAAAAAAACGAAAAAATCAAACTCAAGAGCACTATAAATCCCTATTCGGAGTAGCTTTCGGAGTTCGCCAAAGTTTTTTTCGAGTCTGCTGTTTTTGCTAAGTTTTTTGGTACTGCTTCAAATACGACGAAACTGAATACAGATATACCCTAAAGCACACATATAACAGGCGAAAAGAAAAACTGAGAAAAGACTAAAAATTCAGGGAAATATGACATTTTCGCTGAAAAATTCGCCAGGGCCTTCCATTAACCGCCTCTCTCCGTCTGGATCCCCGAGGCTAAGTCCCACTAGCCAGGGTTTAGAGAGGCTGCACTACACTAGCGCCCCGACGCCGGCGGACCGGTGAGACCCGGTTCCCCCGGCTCGACTGGCAACTGGGGAGGGAAGCTCCTCGGATGCTGGGCCTGTGCACACGCCCAACACACGTGTGTGGCTCCTTGATTGGCCACGTGGCGCTGGGCCGCTGGCTGTTGGTGACGTGGCTGTCCGAGACGCGCGGGCAGGGGTACCGCCAGCTGAGAGAGAGACGACGACAAACATAGCGGCGCAGCCTTTCGAGAATGCGATGGAGTTGGTGGGGGAGTTGCAATATGAAGATATTCTTTTCTACATGGAAGACGATGTCTCGTACGCTGAGGATGGTGGGCAAGATGACGAAGACGTGGTCAGCTACTACGCTAATATTTGTGTAGGGTGAGATATGGACTGTGAAGGGGATGTGGGGAACAGGGATGAACATGAGGAGGGGGCTGGAGGATGGTGCGAGAAACTGATGGCATTTTCTTTTCAGGGTGGCACCGAGATTGCCGACGTCGTCTCTCATCTGCAGCAGGGTGATGGAGACGAGGCGGATGAGTGGGAGGTGGAGCAGGGGTTCTTGGCAGAGGCGGTGGTTGTGAGGGAGAAGAGGCAGGGAATGAGCGAGATTGGCGTGAAGGGTGGGAAGGTTGACAACAACAACAACAACAACAACAACAACAACAACAACAACATCCGCAACGACGGCGAGCAGCAAATGGCCGAAATCGGCGCAGCGGGCGAGGAGGACGATGACAACAACAACGATGGGGTCGCTCATCTGCAGCAGGGTGATGGGGACCAGGCAGATGAGTGGGAGGTGGAGCAGGGGTTCATGATAGAGGCAGCGGATGTGGTGGAGGAGATGTTGGGAATTGGCGAGATCGGCGAGAAGGGTGGGAACGTGGACATCAACATCAACAACAACAACAACAACAACAACAACAACAACAACAACAACAACAACAACAACAACAACAACGATAACAACTTCGAGAACGACGGCGAGCAGACTATGGGCGAAATGGGCGAGACGGGAGCGAAGGATGGTGGCAATAACAATAACAACACTGATAACAACAACGATGGTGAGGAGGGATTGGGTGAAATGGGCGACGAGGGTGTGAAGTACAACAACAACAGCAATAACGATGGCGATAATAACAACAACGATAACGAAAACAGCAACAACAACAACAGCAACAAGAACAACAACAACCACGACGACGGCGGCAACGACAGTCACGGGAGCAGCGGGGCAGAGAGGGCTTGTTGTGCATCCAAGCTGCTGATCAGCATCATGGGGAAGATGTCACAATCAGTGCAATCGGGAGGGAGTAGTAGCTCGTTGGGGTTGGCGAAGTGGGGTTTGTGGTTGAAGGTGCGACTTACTATTCCTCCCCCCCCTCTATCCGGTGATTTCCCATGCTGATTCGTGGCTTCTCTCCTGGCATCGTGTAGGGATAGGATAGATGATCTCCCTGCGTCAATTAGGGTTGATTGCCTCGTATATCTCAATCCCTCAACTCTTAAACCACCAGTACTTGGCCTAGCTATCGATGTCGAGCCGCCGTGGCACCGGTTCGTTTTGATTTTGGTTGGCGCTTCCAGCCATTGTGGTTCGGTGCCCCGAAGCCCTCAACTACCGGCACGTTAACGGGAATCGCCTGCGGCTGATAGCTGGGCCAAGTACTGGTGGTTTAATCAGGAAAGGATTGCTGATAATTACGTTTTGACGTTTTGACGTTTTGACCTTGATAGTGAGTGTAGGTGCGATATGACAACTATTCACACTATACACACCATTGTATACGGGATATATGCTTCATGGGTTTGTTTTCTGGTTTGTTTGATAGAATTGGGCTTGATGTCTCGTTTACTACGGTGTTGTGCTAAGGGATGGGGTTTTTCAATCAGGGGACATGTATAGATCGATGAATGAATACAGACAGACTGGATGTTGTCTTATATGGATTTTGCACACATACAGGCAGTCTCTAACTGTAGGACATAATTACACTACTGTAGACGCTGGACTCGATTTCCAGTGGACAACACCACTGAATAGGGACGCTGGACCCGATCTCCAGTGGACACACATCACATCATTGTAATACATGCCACATCAAGGTTAGGGTTCCGTCTGATAGATAAGACATACATAGGGAGTTGGAGATATCTACACAGCTCTGCATAGGGACGCTGGACTTGATTTCCAACAGATATATTCACATCACTGTCCAGGGACGTTGGACCCGATTTCCAGCACCCGATTTCCAGCAGGTGTAGCTCCCCACCAATAGATGGAGCCTTCGAAGCCGGGACCTACTTACCGGGGATGCTCTTATCACCTCGTTAAGTAGGTTCCCATATACGAAGTTTCAATGTATATTGACAATATATATATATATCTATATATATATATATATATATAGATATAAAAGACTTCCTTTTCAAGTATTTCCAGGCGTGGTCACAGTGCGGCCGTCAGGTGTTCACCTCGGATAGCAGGAACAAGTGCGTACACAAAACCAAGTCTAAACCCCCAACTCCTGGGTCCAGGGTCCGGGGTCCGTATACCAAATGGTCGGAGTTGTTCTCCAGCAGTACTCTTTTTCCCTGGCCTATAGCCAGGGCTATTTGGCTGTGTGTGTGTTTGGCCTGTGGGACCAGGCCATCCGCCTGATCCCACAGCCCGTCCAGTACCACCGTCGGTACCAGTCCAGTCCAGTCAAGTCCAGTCAGTCCGCTAGGGGTACACCCTTTTTTTTTTTTTTTTTTTTAATAATTGCTCCAATCTATTCGTGGGGAGCATCACGTGCTGGGAACCGGGCCCAACGTCCCTTATAATGGAAATACATTAATGATTGACAATTGATGAAAATTTAGGATGATTGAGGATCATTTTGGATGATTTAGGATGTCAGAGTGGGTGATTGAGGTCTTGAAATAGAGCTAGATGATGAATAATCAGAAAGATTGTCTACTCAACACTGAATTACTATCCTATCCCTAATTTCTTGTATCCATTCCAAACAACCAATCACAACTGAGCCCGTGCTGTGCACCCCAATCTGGCTCGGTTACAAGGCAGCGCTACCCACCCTAGCTCCGACCATCATTGGCTAGATTGTAGCCATTAGTCAAGTTTGCAGATTGCCTTCCTCCCTCGGCAATGCCAGACCTCTATACAAAGCCTCAAGCTCCTACACAAGCAGGTTACAGGGCACTGCCCCAGCGCCGGCTAGCGTCGTTCTGGCGCCAACTCAACCTGGTCATTACACAAGAGGACTCAATTAGGAAGTTAGCTAATCTAGAATGCCAACCAGAAATTAAGGATCAGATAATATCAGAATCTTGATCAGCAAAACATTATGATGATGAAATTTGATGAGTACCCTGAGATGATCACAAAGATGATGGATAATGATGACGACGCGGATGATTATTTCTCTCTGCCCCTCCCCTTCTTCCATGTATTCTTCTCCTCTCCCCTCATTTCCTCTTCTCCTCTTGCTGCCTCCGCTGAGCCGAACCCCTCAACATGAAGTTCCTATCAGCCCCAACGAGGGAGAGAACCTCCCCATTCCCTTCTACCTTGAGGTAACCAGTTCCCCCAAAAGGTGTACCTCAAAACTAACACTCTGACCTAGTCTGCCTCCACCAGGAGATAATGCGCCCCCATACATATCTCCCAGCCCCAGCCCAGGTCAGCTCCCATCATCTGCATCTACTCCCTGGAGGGCAATCACCTTCCACCTTGTGTTACCCCTGCGGAGTAGCGCTCCCTTCCTGACCAACCTACCTACCAACTAGACCATAGCCTATCTGGGAGATGAGAATATAATCACAAACACAGAGATGACTACTGATTGATGAAAAAAAGAATAACGAAACCGTGATGATGATGATGATGATGATGATGATGATGATGATGAATGATGATTGATGATGATGATGATGATGATGATGATGATGATGATGATGAAATAAAATTGGCGAAAATAAATAAAGAACGTTGGACTTGCGATACCCTAATGGCATCGGTGTGGAAAATTGACAGCTCACTATTGCTGTAACGAAAATAGAAGATGACGATGATTACGATTTTTACAGAGAAGTCTGGATGATGACCATGAAGAAGATAAAAAGAAGATATGGATAACGAATTATAGAAGCCGATGATGATTACCACTAGTAACCAAATGAGGATTACAAAAATGACGGTGTCCTTGATGAAACCCCCCCGCTGAAATGACAATAATGACAATCTTGATGCTCTTGATGGATAACCTGCACAAGACAAAAAAAACAGACAAAAGCACATATATAGATTGATGATGACCTCCTAGCCGCTCTCTTGAAGATACTCTCCCAGTGGCACTGTGATGATTCTTCAAGTAGGACCAACGTTCTCCGCACTTTGGTCTCCACGGGGCTGACTCCACTTTCCTCCAAACTCCATGTGAAAAACACAGGGAAAATGTTCAAACAGCAGCTGACACTACCATTCTTCCCTTTTCCTCTGTGCCTCAGGCCAGATGCCACGTCAGCCTGTGACGGAGTAATGACCCAACACCTCTGGATACTGCGCGTGCGTCAAGCGCTAACCCCCATCTACTTCTCAACATCACAGCACTCTCGCACCAGCGCCTCCCTCCCGTCGGCTGCCAGCACCGCGCCACGTGTCAGCTAGCATGTTACTAGTCACTACAATCCAGCGCCTCGCCAGTCGCAAGTCACCAGCGCCCCACCACTCACTTGTTGCCAGCGCCTCGCCCCCCGCCAGCAGCCACCGCCTCGCTGCACTCACACAGCCAGCGCCTCGCCACTCGCGAGAAGCCAGCGCCTCGCAACCTGCGAGAAGCCAGCGCCCTGCCACCTCCGACCAGCCAGCGCCTCGCCTGCAAGCAACCAGCATCCCACCATTCGCGTGCCGCGGCGGCCCGGCGCCCGCCAGCCATAGCATTAGTGCTAGCGCTAACGCGCGCCCAGGGTGGCAAGCCCCGCTAGGGGTACACCCTAGCAGCAATCTGTTTTCACTCTCATCCTACATTGTGAGTCTTTGGAATACAGGTCCAACGAGGCCTGTGTGCTGTGTGCTGTGTGCTGTGTGCTGTGTGCTGTCATCTCCCTCTTGAAAGTGTCCATCTGCAACAGCATCTCCACTCTTCTCTCCTTTATCACCTGAGCAGGATCTACCATCTAGGCAGATCCGCTCCATGCCCGGATTAGATTCAAAGAACTCTGTTTTCTGATTTTTTTGGAATTCCGATTTTTTTTTCAATCAAAGAAATGCAGGGAAAAAACTATGGTATGCAGCATTTGCAATGAAAACAACTTTTTTGTTTTTCTAAGTTGAAAAGGGTTACAATCTTGAGATATGATGCAACTGACCGGCCCTAGGTGATTCGGGATTTGTAGTATTTTATTCATCTGCTTCCAGTGGACTTAGTGGAGTTCAAACTTCAAACTCAGATCTGTATTTCAACAGTTCAGGGGTGTACACACACACATACACATTACTAAGTAGTGAAAAAAAAGGAAAAAAAAACACCCCACCCTCCGAGGAGCATGCAGGCGCACATATACACACTCGGAGGAAAGTGCATGCACACAGACACAGGGAGCATGCCCGCACACAACCCCACATCCACACGGGCAAACAGGCAGTGCACACATGATATGCATGTGTGCACATGCATTGTGTGTTGTTACCGTTGCTGGACACACGTCCACAGAAAAAAAAAAATGATTCTTCTGACTTTCACCGACTCTTCGGGATGTTCGACCCTGACAATCTATTCAGAGAGAGAGAGAGAGAGAGAGAGAGAGAGAGAGAGAGAGAGAGAGAGAGAGAGAGAGAGACCTTTTTTTCTTTTTCTTAAGAAAATACCACCCGGGACAACAGATAGGAGTGATGATACAAGCATACACTCCTACCTATCTTGCAGGGGGGAGCTGCACCTGCTGGAAAAGCGGGTCCAGTGTCCCCTGAGATACTTCGTTAAGTAGGTTGATCAGCGCATGCTGGGAACCGGGCCCAGCGTCCCTCATGAAACTGATGTTGCTACTGATGATCATGATGATGACGAGGATGAAAAAATCACTGAACCACCTAAGCAAACCTCACCGCTTAATCCCCAATCAACTCCTAGCCTCCCCTATACCCTACACAACACTCCAAAAGGCAATGTAATCCTATCCAGCACCAGCCCTAGTTGTCATGTTTTAACTACCAAGACAAAACCCAGCCCCTTAGGATGTCATGGCACCCCCCGCCAGCCTGCCACTGGATTGCCTTCCTCCTTCGACGAATCCCCAGATCACTCTACCAGGCCTCACACTCCTGCTTTAGCAGGTCACAGGGCAAGCGCCCCAGCACCCCCCAGCATCGTTCTGGCATCCCCAAACCAAGAGCACAAAACACCACAGCTTTGCACGGCAACAGACAGATTCTACTACGTCTGAAA